TTTCTGAAATACTGGCAAGCAATCAGTCTTTAAGGCCTATGATCTAGGTATTAATAAAACTGAAATGTGCAAGGCATTAATCTTTAAGAAATGGCAACTGCAAAGTACAGCAGTTTTGTTTTGTTTTGAAGTTTTAGTATGAAACAGCCTAGGAGTCACCCTAGTCTAGAGAATGGGTAACATATGCTCCCTCTGAAAAATACTCACTCAGCCAATACATCAATGCACGCACACACACGTATACATATTCAGCCAATATATCAAAATGACTTGGAAACAAATATTCTAGTCTTCTAATATTTCAAAGTAAAATATTAAACTTTATAAAACGTCCTGTTGCGTATTATACTCTATAAAGATTTAAGTCCAAGTGACTTAATGTTTGATTAAAACCAAAAGATTCGAGAAGAGATACAGTATGTTTGATTGTACCCCTCATGCATGTTAAAGGTTTCATTTAAAATCATGTTAACACCAGCTTGGACTTCCTGGTTTCTATAGAGAGCCCAAAGCCGCCACTTCCCCTCTCACATAGACCACTCTGGATCTCTATCTTTCACAGGGTGTGAGTGTGAATGGCAGCATCCTAGAAATTGCTACTGTCTGGCAGGCTGTGACTTTATCAAAAAATTTTTCCCCCAGAAAAGTAGCCTGAAGAAACCGGCAGCTTCAAATGGAACATTTACTGCACATCACCACTCACCTTTCAGATTTTATCATTTTACAGGTCAAAACATGACTTTTTACACTAACAGGTTCCACCAAGTACAATAAATGAAATCAAACTGCCTTCTTGTCTTGCTTAATATACAACCGCCTACAAGAATTCTAGATTCTAAGATTATAACTTCGAAATCTGATGATGTAAGAGGAATAACAGGGCACCTTATCTCTGGCAATGCCAGCAGCATTAAAAACAGTAACAAAACACTTATTTGTTGAACCAGAGCCATATAGATAATGAACAAAATACTGCCCACAGAACCCATCCTCTAGTCAGAACACCTGCTGAAGAGACACAGTGACAGATAACCTCTACTTCACTTATGCTGTTAGGGACGGAATGATCAGCTCCCTCACTCCGTGTGAGAAATCTCTTCTGGCACCCCGTCAGTAACAGACTACATGATGGGCGGTCTTTCACTTTCCTGTTGGTTTGATGATTCATTCAGAGCTCCGGCTTTTGCACAAAAGACCTGCACTCATCTCCACACTTGTTTACACACTTAACAATGGCACAATTCTAGATTTTTGGCATGTAAGTAAGTGCTGTATAAAAACAGTGTGAGGTGATAAATGGAACAGAGCCATCAAAAAAAGTATCCCGTCAGATGCTAAAATGTCAGCCCCCCGAGAAAAAAACCAACAAAATTTTTTCACTAATGCAGCAAGAAAATGGAAGTTACGTATTTTTAACATAAAACAACTTGAAATAATTCTAAATGGGTTGATAAAATATAACAAAGAGAATGCTTAAAAAATTTATAAACATATCAGCAAAATAAAAAAATAAATTATAGAGTCACACCTAACACAAAGAGGAAAGAGGCAACAGGCTATTGTCAAAAATAATATTCATGAAGTTCTGGGAAGTATTTGGTAGTAGGTTGCTATTTGTCAACTTACGAAAAAGAATAAATGTGAATTTCATAAAGTTGATGACAAGCTCTACTGAAAAATGCCAGATTTCTTCCAGAGATTTTACACGAAGATAAAATAGGTAAAGGGTTTCTCCATATGCCACAAAAGTAGAAACAGTTTATTTTACTCTCAAGATTACATTGAGAAGCAATACCTGCATCTGTGGCCTTTAAACTAGAGCATATACTTCCAGAGAGCACACCAAACAATCAAGTGCAGGAAGGAAAAAAGTATTTGAATGCAGTATTTAGTTTTTATGTCATCCTTGATTTCTGTTTTATAATGGACATATTACATTATAAAAGACATACATTAGTATGTTGTGGTTTGTCAAGTTGCTACCAACTCACAGTGACCCCATGTGATAGACCAGAACTGCCCCATAGGGTTTCCTGGGCTTTAATCTTTATTGGAGGTCTTTCTCTCACAGAGCTGCTGCTGGTGGGTTTGAACCACTCACCCTTAGGAAAGGTTAGCAGTGGAGCACTTCAACCTTTGTACTACAGGGCTCCTTACATTTGTATTCCACAACCATCAAGTGGATTCCAACTCAAAGCAACCCCCCACTGGGTTTCCAAGGCTATAAATCTTTATGCAAGTAGATTGCCTCATCTTCCTCCTGCAGAGCAGCTGGTAGATTTGAACTGCCAGCCTTCTGGTTAGCAGCCAAATGCTTTACCTACTATGCCACTGGAGCTCCTAATGTTACGTGGTATATAATTTCACATATAAATGTATGGATTTTTAATAGGGCATTTGTGTTCAAAAACTTGTCACTGATCAAGAGAGATGTTCAAAAGGTTGGAGACTGTTTTTCTGAAATGTCGACGATCGTTTCCAACTGTGCTTAACTTCACTACAAAGATGCAAAGCTACTTTTTGGAACTTCAGAATCACAACAGAAATTCTGAGATCAGGATGAAAACATGTTGTTAGACTACCCATCATAAAATGCAAAGTGTGAATGGAACTGAAGTGATTCTATCAGTAGCCTGGAGTTTCAGTTCCAAAATTCCAAGCCTTTGATTTTACTTTTCCCTCCAAGCCTAACTGACAAATACATGGAGAAAAACAGAAATTGTGCCAGGTAAAAGATTCAACAGTCAGTCCTGCCTTTTTAAACCTCTAAAACAGCATGTAAATCTAGCTTTCTAGCCCATACCTTGAGTTAAGGTTGTAAACTTTCATTAGTAAAAGGAAGACACACATACACACATCCACACAAACATACACAGAAGCTCTCCCCAACCCCCAACTTGACCTCAAAGAGAAGGCAGATCATCATCAAACTCCTAAGTCTTCCTGGACAGGTTACAGACAGGGGACTCGCAAAACGCAAAACGGGTTCCTAGCAAGTTGCTTTTACTGTCTTTCAATGGTACTTGGTTCCCAAGCATCCCTGTGCTGAGACAACTGATTATCAAAGATAGCATCTCTGAAAATCAGCAAATGGCTTTTCTCCTTTAATTCAAAAAGGCAGAATATATTTGTGCTTTGAAAGTTTTAAATTTCTAGTTAACTGAAGTCATCGATACTTACTTATCATTTAAGGTACAAAATGTTAATTAACCTAATAAGCTATTTCAAAGTGCTGCAGAGAGGTCCAGGTCTGATTACACTCATGAAAAGTAAATCAACATAAGAAAGTTCAATATGCCTGTTCCCATTACTAAGAAACACTACCCTCCAACACTACTATTGCACTTCTCAGGAAGAGAACTTTCAGCTGATAACCACAAATGGACCAGTAACAGACCTCCACCCTATACATATAAAGGTCGCTCCCTGCACTTATCCCCTCCACTACTAATGCACTAGCATAGATGTCTTTTACAAGAGCTTTTCTATAAACAAGTTAAAGGGAGTACTAAGCATCTGGAAGATGCTGGTTTATCACATTTTGAACCTTCAAGTCCATAGTCCCTCATCCCATTCAGTTCATGTGACTCAATGACAAGAATTATCTCTACAGTTAAAAGCAGAGTTTAATGGGCAGGGTGGTGGTGGTGGTGGAATAAAATTTCATCCTGGGCTTTAAGGTCAAAAATACCAACAAAAGGTTCAACTGTGGGGATGATTTCAATTCAGTTTGGGAGCTCAACAAATCTGTCTGCACTTGGCCCTTGTTGCCATACAGTAATAATCTCTAAAAGTGGTAATTTGGACATGAGGCCTACATTGTTCACTCCAAGATAAACAATCCAATCCCTGTATGTGACCATCCTCAAATGAGCTCTGCTCCTCCCTAATTAAAAATTAATTAAAAGAAATAAGCACATCTCTACCTCATTACTGATAGGGAGGCTTCCCTTTGCATTTCATCTTCCTAATGACATTTTTTAAACTATCACAACCTCTAAGAACCTTAATTTTAAAAGAAAGAAGATAAATATACAATAGAACATGAGGTAAAATGAACAGAAAAAGGGGGTGCTCTGAGTATCTTCGATCTGGGAAAAAGTCTCTCATGCTATTTCAAGTTACTCAATTGAATCTTTTCCCTTAAAGGCACCGCAAATTTTCAAAAACCCAGGTTCATCTCCCTTAAAAAGCCAATGTTTACTGTGCCATATTCCAGGGCTATTTAATTACACCACTCAGAGATCAGACATTTCCATGCTAGATGTGCAGTCCCATGTCTCGGTGGATGTTCCAGACGCTGTCTTAAACCCCAAGTTTAAAAATCTCCCTATGCTGCAGCAGACTAGCCCCACGCTCTACTGACAGGTTCAGAGAGGATCATACATATGGCTAAGAGACCCACCCTGAATAAATGTACACAAGAGGCCTTTTTGTGGAGTTGCTTACATATGTCACAGTTCACAGCAAAAAAAAAAAAAAAAAAAAAACCTCTAGTCTTACTCTGTGGATAGGAATGATTCCTTTCCTCCACTGTTTATTAACAGCTTTTAGTGGGTTCACAGAGCACACTTAAATCCTGAAGATACAGCCAATTTCAATTTCACCTAATATTTCTTGAAATAATACACTCTTAAGCATAATTTTTTTTTTCCTGGCCAAAGGGTCCCAACAGCCAGAATAAGTAGCTTTGTCCTCAAATGCTGTTGCATGGCATAGCCCCACCAAAAATTTCTTTAATACAAAGCTCAAAATATCAAGAAAAAGAAAACAGAAAGAAAAGGTGGAGTTTAGACTCCAATTAAGGCATTTTTATACATAGTTCAACTTGAGTCCTATTCAAAGGGAACCCTAAAAAGGTGGTTCGCTGGGGAATGGCAAAAATCACAACAATCCATTTATCAGCTTTGTGGAGTTATCAACTGCTCACTTCAAATGTAATCAAGTTGAATGTCTTCTGTTTCTTTGTTTCTTGGGTCTCTCATTCCACAGTGCATATGTTATGTTTTCTGCAGGTCTGGGGAAAATGGGCCAGGGGTAGAAGGTCCATCCAGGCTAGACAGAGTGAATGGCCCATGACTGTTCAGTACAGAAGGAAACTGAGAAGGAAAATAAAACACATTATCATCTTATTATTCAACCCCAACTTTTACTTTCCATCCTGACTATATTCCCTGAGGCAAAACAGGCTTCCGCAGTGGTGCACAGGGCCGGCTCCTTTCAAAGTCAGTACAGAAATCAAAGAAGCAGATGACATCACAACAGAAACATTAAAGAAAAAAGCTATTTCTCTTACATGTTTAATATTAACAGCCTCCACCCTACCTTGATGGAATGGAAACCAAGAACAAACCAAACCTATACCACCTTCCCTTATATTCTAAGCTATATAGGTTTACTTCACACGTCATTCCCAAATGAAGTTCAGTAAGTGGCGATTATATACTATAGAGTGTACTTCAAATATAAAGCAAATCACGGATCCTCTGAAGGGGTCCAGAAAGGTATAGAATGAAATGTCTATTAACTCTCTGTATTGGCATCAACAAACAGCTATAGGATGCTCACTCCAAAAAAGGGTTCCCAGCATGGATTCTGAGGGGTGAAGCTATATGAGCAGCAGGTTTTGCTTAAGGTCTGATTGCTCCACAACTCAATTATCTGCAGGTGAGAGGCAAAGAAACATCTAACAACGAAGTATGGAAAATTCTCAACACTCTTTCTCATCCATAATTTAGGGCTTATTGCAAACAAATGCAGGAAGCAGAAAGATTTTATTTTTCTTCTTTTCTTTTACCATTCCCAAAGAACAAACGAAAAGTTAAATGACAAAATGTAAGAAGGATAGTCACCCCTGAAAAACTGGATGAATTAATCACAAGTTATAAAGGTTACCTACTTTGGGGAAAAATAATGGTTAAAAAATGCAAGACCTTTCCTAATATCTTGGTGACATAATATAATATTGTGAGATAATATTTATTTTTTAAAATATATATATTCAAAATGTTGACAGATACCAATTCTGAAAGGAAAAGGGGAATACTGACATACTAGTCTTAAGACTTTTCTGTATTTCTTTTCAATTTTTCAATTAAAAGGAGAAACCTATGTGCAGAGGCAGTCCCTCAAAAAATACATACATACATACATATATACAAATACACACACACACCTTATCACCCACTGCCACAAGTCAATTCCAACTCATAGCGACCCTACAGGACAGAGCAGAACTCCCCTATACAGTTTCTAAGGCTGTAAATCTTTACAGAAGCAGACTGCCTCATCATTCTTACCTGGAACAGTTGGTGGGTTCAAACTGCTGACTTTCTGGTTAACAGCCCAATGTTTTAAAACCACAGCACCACTAGTTCTCCAATATACACACGTGCACATGCACGTGCACACACACACACTCCTATGTACATATAGATTTTTTTTTCTAAAACTAAAGGGTTTCTAGTGTTTAAAATAACAGAAAAAATTGGGTGGGCTAAAAATCTGTTGTAATATTGAACAATTCTTGGTCTGCCTCAAAGGTATGTAATATTAAATAATAAGAAGGAAGCTTTGCTATGAATATCCCAGCCTTTTGATAGCTAAAAACTAAACACTTAAAAATTCAAAAATAAATCCAAAGGATTTGGAGTGATTAAACTCAAGATACAGAATGACTTTTTACCTATTTCTTCATTTAACATACACCAATTACAAGAGAGAGGCTTTTAGGAAATTTACCTGGAAAAGTGTGTTAGCACCTTGTAGTCTGGCTGGACTTAGGGGAGCAACAGGGCTGAGGGTACTCCAGAAGTGGATACTGGAGAGCAAGGGACTCGGAGTCAGTAAGATGGGCGTCTGCAATACACAAAACAAAGAGAGCCACCCAATGACTGTCAGGATTACGCTTTATCCTGACAACAGTATACACACAGCCCCCTAAACCCAAATATCCTATTCTGCACTCCAAATATCTCTAAGTTAAAAAAATTTATCAGCAGGAGAAACGCAAAATATTTTTACAGCCTAAGAGAGATAAAGGTCAAAATAACTACTTTTTAGCCCAGTTTTATAGAGTGTTTCCCAAAGAGGAGAACCAACCTGAATTGAGGTATAGAGGAATAATGGGTAACGAGTCACAAACAGGTTTCTTTCTTTATAATGAGAAGGTCTGGGCATAATCTATCTATTAAAATGTTATATGAAATGAGCAAGTTAATAAATACGTAATGTAACTGCATAAACTTGTTACTTAGCATCACGCCAGTCATTTTTCTTAAGGTTCTCAGGACCTACTATTTCCTTAACTTCAGATTATCACTGTAGGTTTTATTTTTTTTTTAAATAAGATATTATCTAGTTTTATAAAACCAAAAAAAGAAAGAAAAGAATGCTCCTCTTCTCTAGGAGGATGTGGAAAAGCCAAAATATTTATTTATACAGCACAGGAAAATTTTTAACAGAATACTCCAAACCTTTTATTTGGCAATCCTAGTTGAGAAACTGGGTTACGTTCATGAGGTCAAATATAACCTTCTAAGACAAAACTAAGTAGCAGAATGAGAACCTGAGCGTATAAATTCTGGATTTCTTTAAGAAAGTGAATAAATGCAAACGAAAGTGGCACTAAAAAGAAAGGGCTACCTGTGAAAAAAGTGCAGGTGTAAGAGACGCTGTAGGCAGAGATGGACTTAATATTCCCAGTGGGCTGGGATCACTGCCTGTGATCACAAGGGTGGGTGCCAGTTCTAATCCTTTGGGTTTCTTGGATCTTGATGAATTATTTGTTTTGTCCTTTTCTGGCAAAGTTGAATCCTGGTCTTTAGGCTCCAGTGACAAGTTCTCGGGAAGTTCCATTGACTGAGAAGCCACTGAATCAATGTCTGTGTCGATGTCCGGGTTAGAACTCAGCGGTGGTGAAGGGGTTCTAGGAAGTCCCTGCAAAGAAGGGGACAGGGATGCAACAGGAGGGGTGGTGGTGAAAGTGGTAGCTATGTTGGATGTGGCTGCTGGGGCTTCCAGAGAAGGCAGTTTTGGGGAAACCAAAGTCTCTAATGCTTGAATGGTTTCTTCTGAAGATGGAGAAATACTTGGGCCAATTGAGATGGTGGTGGCAACAGGTTCAAGTGGTGGCTTCTTGGAAGGTGTTGTCACAAATTTGATGACAGATGGTGTTGACTCCTGAGGAGATTTTTTCTCTGCCAATTTCTCAGCTGGATTCTCAATTTTTATAGATCTGAAAAGCTTCGTGTTGGAGGAGTTCAAAGAATTGAGAGTAAATGACGAATATAACCCAGAGTGTATGTAATCATTGCGGCTGGAGGACTTGACACCAGGCTGTGGTGGTTTCTCTTTCCCTCCATTCTCCAGATCTTTGGAACTGCTGCTCACTTCATTGAAGCTTAAAGTTTCACAGTCTCCCTCAATCCTGCCCACTGTCATTGGATCCATGTTCAAAATCTCTGGGTAAGAGACAAACTTGTACACAAACTTCTGACCATTCACTTTTTTGATGATATTCTATAGGCAAATAAAATAAGCATTCTTACACTTTCTTATAAACTTACATCCCACAGCATGTAAAAAAGCTTACTTAAGGAGGTTCTCTCTTTGAGAACCAGGCATAGTTTCCTTAAAAGCTTCAAATCCATCTAAATGTATCTAGCTATACCCAACACAGTCTCTCCCATTATGGAGCTTCAGTGAAGGCAAGAACATTTAAATGTCTTACTATGTTGTTGTTGTTATGTGCCGTCGAGTCAGACTCGACTCATAGCGACTCCTCCTTGGGCTTCCGAGGCAGTATCACTACGGAAGTAGATTGCCCCATCTTCCTTCTGAAGAGTGGCTGGTGGGTTTGAACCACAAGCCTTCTGGTTAGCAGTCAAGTGCCTTAGGCACTGTGCTACCAGAGCTCCCTATGTCTTACTATACAAAAGCTAAAATATTTTAATTGCTTAGCACTTTCAACCAAGTATGTGTATTAAGTCAGAAATTGCTGACTTGCAATCTCAAATAATTACAAAGAGACAAGGTACACACATCCTGGGTAATCCAAGAGGAATTTATGATATCACTTCTGCTAACGTTCCTACTTTCTTCACAAATTCTTACCTTGTATCTCCATCAAGAAAAGTGATAGGATTAACCACTTAACGGTTAAAGAAATTAAGATCTCAGTTTCTCATTCTAATTCAATTCTCTTGAACTATTTACTTTTACCTCCGTGCCCAAAATGTATTAAAAATAATTACAATTAAATACAAAGTACACTTTTAACTAAGAAAACAACTTTAAGGTTATTCTTTAAGGTATTAATTTGTGTTCCCTAGGTTACACTAAAACTAAAAATTACATAAAACTAAAAGAACAAGTATTTATATAACAATTCTCAAAGTAAATTATACCATACACATCAATAATCATTTATCCTCAAAAGTCTCAAGTTTCTTTTATCTTATTCTAACTTTGTTCTCATTTTGTCTTTTAAAGACCACTGCAATTAGGAATGAATATGTGTACTATATTTTTCTACATATAAAGCACCTACAGAAATAACATGTACACACAGATAACACACATAGTACTCACAGGAAGCTAACACACAAAAGGACTGAACAGTTTGCAAACCATATAGCATACATGTTATTTGCATAAAACATGGTAATGGGAGTTTGCAGAAACACAGCTGGGATCTTTACTCCTTGCACCTTAATTCTAAATTGCTGAAGCTATAAAATAAATTGGATTAAAATAAATTAGGAGGTTAGCAATTATAACCTTAAGAGAAGAAAAGGAACAAATCTTGTTTTAAGGGTCTGTATACAGTTATCAAAATTGGGATGTGTATTACCTTTACGTAATAGTATCTGAGGGCTCGACTAAGTTTGTCATAATTCATGTTTGGCTTCTTTTTGCGAATCCCCCAGAGACGAGCCACCTCTTCTGCCTGCAAAAGCTTGAACTCCCCATTATTAGAGGTCCAGCAGATCATATGCTTGTTCTGAGGCTCCTGGAGGAGCTGAAGGAGGAATTGCCACAGGGTGATAGCACTGTCCATAGCAGTGAGCTGAAAGAGAAATACAGACAAGACACACGATAAGGTTAACAACCAACACTTCTATAACTCTACATGTCAGGCAGGTTTTTTTTTATTTTTATGGTGATTTGGGTGAAAGTATACAAACCAAATTCATTTTCCATACAGCAGTTCACATGTACTTTGTCTCATGACATTTGACTTCAATTTCCCACAATACAACAGCTGCCCTCTCACGTCCTCCCCAATCCACTTCTTTCCTGTGTCCTTCCCTCTCATGTACTCCTGCCCCTTGAGCTATCTCCCTGTGGATACACAGCCCTTCCATTCACCTATGATTTATGTGTCCAAGAAACATATCTATCTAATGTAAATGTTCAGCTCATATGCCTGTCTTTTGTTTGGCTGGATGCCACAGGAGTAAGTTCAATTCCAGACCTGAAGGGCAGCTAAGGGGCCATAGTCTCAGGGGTTCCACCAGGCTCTATCACACCAGCAAACCTGTTCCTTTTTTTAAATGATTTTGAGTTTTGTTCCACATTGTTTTCCCACCCTATCCAGGATCTCCTGCATAGATCCCCCTCCAAGTGTTAGTAGTAACTGGGCACCATCTAGTTCTTCTGGTCTCATAGTCATATAGGCTGAGGATCACAGAGTGTACCAGTCCCCTGGACTAATTATTTCCACGTGTCTTTGGTTTTCTTCATTCTTCTTTGCTCTGGATGAGGAGAGACCCATCACTGTATCTAAATGGCTGCTTGCAAGCTTTTAAGATCCCAGTCACTATTCGCCAAAGTAGGATGTGGAACAATGCTTTTGTGTTATGTTATGCCAATTGAGCCTGATGTCCCCTGCGACCATGGTCCCGAGCCCACAGGTCCAACTACTTGCTTTCTCTGGGTAGCTGGCTGTGGCCAAGAAGTGAATACAACCCTGTCCCTTGTCAACTGTCTACTATATACCTGGAAGTTCTTACAAAACATACAAATACACTTGTAGAAACACTGGTCAGGCACTGTTTTAAGTGCACGACAAGAATTCATTGATTTCATCCTATATGATAACAATCCTATAAGATAGAGACTATTGCCTCCCCATTTCATATCTGGGAAAAAAAAAAAAAAAAAAAGATTCATAAAAGGGTTAAGTAATTTGTGTAAGGTCACACAAATAGTGAGGCTGAAAATTAAAACCAGGCAATTTGGGTCCAGAATCCAAACTCTTAACTGCCATGCCATTGTGTTTGAGTAAAGTCTTTCTTGCATATAACAAATGACTTTGAGGAAAGATAAAGCTAGTTCTATAAGTCATAGGAGCAGACTGACAATTACCAATCACTCGAATATCACTATCGGCTCCCTTGTTACCCTCCCGAGAGGGACCGGGTCTCCGGGAGCAAGGTAAGCACGGGCGTA